GTATTCCAAGGTGGGTTCTCGGAAGATCTGGAGGTGGTCCCGCTGCCTCCGCGCCCCTCGCCAGGGGCTGCTCTGTGCTGGCGGGAGGAGGAACGTGGAGTCTCCACCTCGCACCGAGGCCACGCTCTGCGGGGGGTGGGAAGGGGTGCGTAGGGTCCAGCAGCCTCGAGGGCTCATCGGGTTGATGGGACCAGAGGGTCATCCGCTCCCAAATGCCAGAGAGACACATCCGATCGGGACGTTAGAATGCGGGGAGCTGCGAAGATAACCCCCTCCTCTTCTGAGCTCTTTTTTTAGAGTTGGGCTGCGAGTGCAACTCGGGTAGTGCTTCCTGACTATTAATGGCAAGGAATTGCATGGGGATCGCGGGTTTATTATCCCCAAGGAGTCCTCGGTGCTTCACAAGCTCGTCAGCACGGCATGAACAATCAGTCTCCGCCACCCGCGACGGGTGGTGAGGTCTTGGCAGCTCAGAGTGGCATCGCACCAGGTGGGCAGGGGGGCACCAGACTGGGTGGTGGGGAGACGAGGACAAAGGCCACTTTGAGGGCGAAACCCCGTTTGGGCGGCGTTCGGCAGGTCACAGCAGGTTTTTTTTGAAGGAATCTGTGGGGTCCTTCCCGATGGCAACTGCCAAGAGCCTCCGTTGTATTTGCCTTCAAGGCCTTGGGATTCGGGCGGTGGGTTGTGTTGTCACTTCCGAGGCGGTTCGGAGCTGATAGACTGGTTCCAATGACTTGTACTCCAGCGTCATCGGGGTGGAATAGAATTATGATCGTTATTATTAACGTTATCGTTATTATTGCACACTTGGTTTTATGGGAGCTCGCTATTAAGGCTTGTCTGAACTCCATTCTCATGCCATTTGTTTTAATTGCTTTTGGAAACAGAAACAAATTTATTTCTCTCCGTTACAAACAGCCCAAGGGAAAATAAACATGTCGCCGTGTCCCTCATGCCACACTCTATTGGCACGCGCTGCTAATAAAGGTGATTCATTTATTTAACGCCGGAGCGGATATAAGCTTTGGTAAATATTTAAACAAAACCCTGTGCAAGCCAGCTAGGTAAACAACTTTTTTGAGACTGTTCCCTGGTGGTTTGTTTTTTTTTTTTTTTTGTGTGCTATCATATAATGTTGACAAATTACTTATTAAAGCGGAGGATGGTAACTACTCTCAACACAGAATTGGAGAAAGGAAATAATGGAAAATGCTGAAATTTTCCTATTACTGGTCGTTTACAGAAAACATGTTCATCCAGGAAGGTGTGGGGGAAGGCGGAGATGTAAAACTGAGTAAGGGTGGGTTTGCACATTAGGATCATCTTGCAGCGCTGGGGATGTCGCGCTGCCTACCTGTGAGGGCGAGTTACCCTTTGCTCCTCCACGTTCCTCTTTTGCTCCATATTTTTCTCACGGTCAATCGAATTTCAGCAGAGCAATGCACCAGACCGCTTTTTGGACAGGAGGCGAAGCTGCTCTGAACTGGAAATCTTTTTCCGGGATCTTTAGCATCACCTTAAATATCATCAGCAAAGCAAAAGATAATAATCTCATTTTTCTCATTTGCTTTAGATAAATCCCTCCTGTCAAGGGAGGGACTCCAGCTTGGGGGCGGTGCCCTGGGCTCCTCGCTCGGTCCCTTCACCCCACTGTCCCCGCAGTAGGGTGGGTTGATCACAGTGTAGAAAGCAGGTTAGTTTGGATTGCCTCCTTTATTTAATTTCTACAAGCGGTCTGTACACCTTCTCCCAAACGGGAAAAATATTTGTTTAAAAACATCTTCAGAAAAAATATCGGATGACTCTGAAACACTTTTCGTTTTGGACCGCTGTGCGAAATATACTTGGGAGTTTAATTCCTCTTTCATCCTTGCTTATTATCTTGATTCTTATGCATTTCTTTAATCCATCTACTGCATAAACGTTTATTTGCTGTGCTCTATTTAATTTTTTTTTTTCCTGACCTTCACAGTTGTCATGTGGGACGGGCGAAAGACCGCGGGTTGTTGAAATGGAGAGTAGCTCTGCAATGGATTTAATCTGCACTCAAAGCTCAGCTTAGCGGATATTAAAAGCTAATTCTGCTCACAGCTCAGAGTCTTTAGAGGTATCATAATAAGTATGTATGCAAACTAAACATTTTTAAATTCTTATTAAATATTAACTTTCCGTTGTGATTATGCACAATGTGATTATTCTAGTCATAATTAATAAATTCCACAGATTTTAGTGATTTGAATGTAATGATCCCTATCAGTCAGTAAATAGCAAAAAAATTAGCAGCATACCAATATACCAGAAATCATTATTTGTCTCAAACTGTGAGGTTCCAGAAACACTTACTATAGAAGCCAATTGCTATCATGGGAAAGAAGAACTTCCTAGGAAATCACCGATAAAAATAAAATCTCCAATTTTTCGTGAGTAGCAGATCGCACTGTATCATTTCTGTAATTTTACAGAATTACGTTATACAGCAGGACTGCACTTCTGTGCTTGTTTGTGTGTTGCTTCGGCCAACGCACGGCTTGTATTCATTTATTTTCTAATTCTATTTTGGAAATGCGTAAACGACGCGACCTGCTCAATGTCATTGTAAAATGACTTACGGACGTCTACTAGATTTTATTTAATTTTCCCACTATAAAAGCTAGATTAAAGGGAGCCCAGTCAATTAGAGGATGAACAAAGCATGTACTTAAAAGAAAATCACTTAATTTGCACTCTGTGAGTCTGGAAAATTCTCCATCTTCTACCATGTCACGGTTCAAGTCTTCCCTTAGAAAGGCTGCAGAATTCCTGATGAGGAGCCTCAAAAAGAAACAAAAGCGTGCACGCTCCTCTTGGATCAGACCTTCCAGTCTTTAGCAAAATCTGCAGAGGGTTTGTCCACTGGGATCTCGTGTCCCTCGAGGAAGGATGATGGGGTCTGTGTTCTGTAGCGCTGCGTACAGAAAATAACTGGGTGTAAAACCAGGGCTCAAACCCTGTGCTGTACTCACAGAGCTTCCTGCCTGCCATTCCTTCTTTTTGTTGTATTTAAAGCTCAGTTCTGTAACAGATCATCTCACAGGGCAGGGGGGAGAACAGTTCACCGAGATACAGACACGGGTAATAAAGTCAGAGAGGAGAAGGGTGCTGCAGTGGAAGGTGATGGACTTCCAGTGGGGGCTGCTGTTGGGAAAACGGTCATGGACTGTGTCATCAGGGAGGAATTGTGACACCAGAGAGCTTCTGTCTCCCTGAGAAAAATCCAATAAGCCGCAGGTGTTTATAACTGTAGTCTCCCATATAGTACAAACGCCGTTATAAAATATGGTATATATTGTGTATTTTGGATATAATGATGCTCTGCCGGCAGGGACTGCGTGTGCTCACAGCCCGTGGGCTCCGACCCGCCACAGGAAGAGAGTCCATGGTGTTGATTTGCCCCTTTGGGTGGAAACGTCCGACTCTGGGATTCCTGGGAAGGAGTGTGGGATATCATTTGGAGGAGCAAATCCCTTCTGTGTGCAGGGGAATGCCAAAAGCGGCTGCATCCTGGCTGTGCTGACTGCTGCAGGCTGCGATACCAAAAAATCTGTAAAATAGAAGAAACGTGTGGGCTGTGCCCTGAGGACATGGCGTTGCCCCTCGCCCCTGCGGACCCGGAGGGCAGTGGGTAACCCCAGGCGGCTGCTCCGGAGCAGGCACGGGCGCTGCCGAAACCCCGATGCTCAGAGGGTGTTTGCGTGCTCTTGAGGGGAGGATTTCGCCTTTGGAGATCTGTCACGGCTGTTAGAAATCCACGTTTGGTGGGACATTGATGGTTCTGCCACAGCCCGAGGCGCTTGGGTGACACGTGGCTTCGCCATGGCCGTCCCTCGCTGCCCTTCACCGCAGCTCGCGCCCCGAGCAGCATCTCCAGTGCTCCAACACACGAGGGGTTCGATAGAGCCCAGCCCAGGGGGGCTCCGAAATGTGCTGGATGGTGCTTTAGCAAACGCCGCTTGCCCGTTCACAGTTAGAAATGGATAAGCATTTGCACAGATGGTTTGGTCAACAAATTATTTCCAGTCCAAAAGAAACGGTCAGTTAAGCTGCTGAAAGCACCATCTTCTCTCCTTCCCTCTGTGTTTATTGCTTAATTATGAAATTATAATTAGGAAAAAAAAAAAAACAAATCATCATTGCTGACAGAGAGGTGGGGGATGCAGCCCAGCACTTGCATGAAGAACTTAAGGGTATTGGGGATTCTAAAAAAAAAAAAAAAAAAAAAAAAAAAAAGTCACTTTTTCTTCAAAAGGAAGCGTACGAAGCTTCAGCTAAGGCAGCGTGAGCACAAAAGCTGCGCTTGCACCACCTGGGAGGGATGAAGCAGGTTGATTCCTTCCATTCTGGTGATAAAATCTCTCTTGCCAAACTCCCAGATGTAACATTTCTGTACTTATAATCCAGCTCCTCTCACAGCTTTTACGTGTTCTAGGGATCGGCTACATTCTGTACATAAAATGGGATTGATTAAATTATAATGTAATCTGTGATTCTATAATCCGAAAAGGGAGTTGGCCGCTCTATGATTTAATAAATGTTGCTATAAAAAAAAAAACAAACGTAGTTCATAACTTGTCACCACCTTCATCTCAGGAAACCTTTGGAAGAAACGGAGATGTATGTCCAGGCGCTTCTGTTGTAACGTTGATACTACACAGAGTTTGACTGGACGTTTCGAGGAGGGGGGGGGTGTACGGTAAGGCAGCACATATTTTAAGAGACAAGATGGGTGCGCTTACACTGAGGCCTCAGATTTTTTACCTGGTAATTCTAAATTGCGATGGAAGCGAGATAGCATTTTCCACGTTCAAAAAAGCAACGACAACTGAAAAGCAGCTCCACCCTGCAGTCATCGCCACCACGCTGGCAAGCTTTGCCGTGCTGCATCGTTTACGTACACAGGAATGTAACTAAGAATATAATTCCAGCCCTTGAAAATGAGAAATGAGACACCGCAGTGAACTATGGACTCGGTGTCAATCCCCTGGAAAATAATGGCACGTTTCCTTCTGGGCTTCGGGGAGAAGCGGGAGCCAGAGTCTCGATTCCGATCAGCATCAATCAGTCAGGCTTCAGGGACAGGAGATGTGGTCAGACAAAGCAGCAGCCCCAGAGATCCAGGTGAAAGAGCGGCTCTCTGTCAGCCACCGGTGGGGCGGTTTGAGTTGGGAAAGTCTGAAGAGAGGTGCCGTAAGGTAGAACAGGGGGAGCTGTTAGAGCAGGTCCCTTCTGCGGCAGAGCCCTGGAGATGCTCCCCTTGTCCCCTCCTGCTGGGGACAGCAGATTGACCCCCAAGCTGTGCCATTTTAGAGGGAATTACGAGGAGATTCCCGTAGTACGTGCAATGGGACCTAGAGGAGCGTTTCCAGTGTTGTAGCAGCATGGGTAACTGGTATTTTGAACCACACAGGAGATGCGTGCAAGTCATCCTCACCCCTTCAGTGCCTCCTGCCCCCTCCCTCCCTCCACAGCCGGCCACGGCAGGAGCTGGAGGGATAATGGGAATAGCGGGTGATGATAACCGCACAGGAAACGAGGAAGATGAAGCTGAGATGAAGTAGAGGGTTTTCCATTCTACGTGGTGTTGGTAAGACTCTTGCAAGGCTGTTACGCCTCGTTCCACTGTTCACATTTCAGGATGATTCAGAGACTCCTTAAAAGAGAGAAACAAATGTTTTCTAGGAAGCCTTACAAAAATTAAGCTTGTGCTGCTCAAACCATCTGCAGAGAAAGATGAAGAGGTGATTTATCACCTTGTGTGGGTCCTTAGTTATAGGAAAGATACTTGATAGGGAGGGGAGTGTTCGGCCTCGCAGACAAAACATAATAAGATCTGATTTCTGAAAGGTGAATTTAGTGGAATGCAATTTTGAACTAAGATGTTCTTTCCCGGCAGTGAGGGGTATTTAGTCGCTGAAAGTGCTTACCAGACGTGGCAGTGTGAGCATCACCTGGAACTGCCAGGATAAGACAAGACAGCTTTCTAAAACGTAGACTTTAGTCAGGCTTCTGGGAAACTTCCTAAAGCCTGCGACTATCTGAGCTCAGATTAAATTACCCTCGTGACCCCCCCGGCCATACATTCCACAAATATGTTAATAGAGTTGAGTTTCATTCATATTATCAAGCTCTATGTTCCATGACCATGGCTTACATGCAGAATCACCAGGGAAAGATTTTCACATTGTTTGCCGTTATGGTTTTTATCAAAATTAAAACACTCAACAAAACACCCGAGATTTGGGGTTTGAACACGATAGGCAAAGCCTACAAGGAGGACGGGGAGACTGACAGCAAAGGCAGTGGCTATCCTGAGAGAAGGGGGAGAGGGAAAGAGCTGGAGCTGCAGGAGGAAATCCCGGGCTGGGAGGCTGAGCATTAGGGGGAAAGTGCTGCTTTTTGTGAGGAGGCGAGTGATAAAGAGCAAATAAAACCTTAGGAGGAAAGGCAGAGGAGGGCGTTTGAATTAAGCAGCAGAGAAAAGAGTAGAGTGTGCTCTTTGTCTTGGAAAAGGAATCTGGTTCATCTGTGTGAGCTGGATGAAACCCTCTCACGTCAGCCCTAGATCCCTGCCCACGGCAGGACTGCCCGTGGTTTTTCTTTGGACATTTGTATTTTGGGGGATACGATTACAGTTGCTTATACGATCCGGCTCTCCTGCTGGATCCTTGTGCCACGCTGCTGGCAGGACCCGCAGCAGTGAAGCGGGAGGAGCAGCATCAGGGCGTGCCACGAGCTCCTCACGCCCGCGGGAAGGAACGTGGTGTTGCTAATCCGTTTTTATCAGCGACGCTAGTTAAACCGGTACGCTGAACAGCGAGGGGATGTTTCACTCACCCGTCCTCTGGTGACGGATGCAGGGAAGAGACTGGACTAAGCCTAATCCCAACCCTGGCGAGTACCGGGAGACCTCCTTTAGTTTGCCGCGGTTTGTACTGGCCCCCCAGGTGCCACTGTGGCAGCACAGCCAGGTCCCGCCACGTCCTCTGTGTTCAGGAGCAAGTTTAAAGCAAATAAAACTCATCTGGATAAATAGCATTAGGTGTCAGGTGTGAAAAATCCCTCCGTGGTGCTGCTCCAGTAATGCCGGAACACGAGCAAATCTCTCTCTTTTTCTATCTTCAGAGGTGCAGAACCTCGAATAAGAAGTTTAATGCTGTTGGAAATCTTACACCGTAACATTTACTTAATCCAGAAGGTGTTTTCACCGTTCCAAATAGATATTGCGGCAATCAGTTGTATATATTTATTTGTGAGAGGAACTGGTTTGAGTTACTTGATTCCTTTACTTGACTTTCCGAAAGTACATTCATTCTTGAAGGATAAAGAAATAAGTGGTTCAGATTTAGGAAGATATTTTTAAAATATTGCGGACTGAATGAAGCCACTGCCTATGCCCCATTACTCATGATACCCTGCTCTCAGATGGATTTCCGCGTTTCAGATAGAATGATCCCTCACCAGATGTCTTTAGGAAGTAGATTTATTTTTCATCCTCTGTGCACATAAATAAGAATTCCTCTCAGTGTTTTGGCTGTTGCCAAGCTGAAATGTCGATGGTCTTTAACTTGGGCTGGGACGAGGGAGTAGAGGGGAGACACATTACCAACGCCTCATTTCGGGGCACGGGGCACCCCGAGGAAGGGTCACGTCGTGGGGTGGCCACGTCGGTGGGGGCTGCTCACGGTCCCATCAGGACGGGAGAGACTTCTGCAGAAGGGAGTTGAGTAACAGGTTCGTTGCAGGGGTCTGCAAAGAAATCTGATTGAAAAAATTATCCCTTTAGGTGGAAATAACTCTTCTGTATGTTCGAGCTCCTAAACGTGGCCTGTAATGCTTTTTCAGGTCATCGGCTGAAGTAGGGAGGGGTGGATTGTCACCTTTGTGAGTTAGTCCATGGCAAATTTGGAAGTTACGGTGTGAAACCTGCTTGAACTTCAACGGCGAGTGACACTGAGCTTCACTGCTTTAGGAATTCAGGAAGGTTCGGGCTTCCCCAGACCTTCATTTTCCCTGAAGACAGTGTTCCTCTGCTGATGAAAAACACTCTACATAGACTTTTACATTTTCTTTGCTTACGGATGCATAGCCACCAGTAAACACTGAGAATTTCCAGCTGGTTTTAAGTCTGTCCGAGCCCAGCTCATTTCTATGACTGAAATACTTGCAGTGACTGCACCCGGGAAAGGGCTGGAGAACATCTGTGGGTGCAGAGCCCAGAGCCCACAGAACCAGTCTGTGTGTGGAAAAGGCTCTGCCCCTTCACCGTCCATTGAAGGGATGCTAACCATCTACTCCAGGTTGCAAAGGTGTTCGCATGGAGGGGGATTTGGGCTGTGACCAACTGGAGCAAACAGCGTGACAAAGCACTCAGGAGAGTAAAGCTCCAGTTGGACAGAAACACTGGTTAGGAAAAATGGATTATAAACATTTTTCCCACCTCGTTGTAGTGGTACCCATTTACCTTGCAGAGCACTTTTCATGTTAAAGCCATCCTTACAGAAGGTTCTGAAACACCCCCGTGTAAGACATGCATCTTTTTATAGTTATTTGTATAAAATGTGTTGTTCGTCATCTGGAGAACGATGCTTTTCAGAAACATCCGTAGGGCATGACGTGTTACCACAGGGATTTAATGTCTGTAGCGAATGTAACAAGACATGTACAGAAATACACGTTACGTTAGAAAGAAAGAAATCCACGATTCCCGTCTTCGTTGCCGGGACCCTGGATTTCTTTCCTCCCTGTGTAACGTTGCGAGAAGTGAAGCATTCCCTTGAGGTTAGGCCCTTTAACACTTTCCATCATTTTATATCCACGTGGAATTCTGTTTCTTATGCCCAGATGTAGAAATAACACCGAAAATGCAGTTTAGTGAAAAATTCTGCTGGTGAAATGAAAGAAAAAAAAATAAAATGTAGCTTGTTTTTTCTTAGCCGTGTTGCTCCTGGAAGCCTAAACGCAACAGAAATAAAGGTATTTTAGTCTCCTCCATGAACAGATGCGACTCCAAGTACACACAGAGTAGGTGCAACAGGCATCGTTGTTTTTTAAAAGCACAAGAAAAATTAAACTTCGTCCTCTTTTCAAACTGTCGCACCAGCAAGCTCACCCATCCCTTAAACAAGAGCGCCCACCAGGAGCAGTTTACTGGGAACTTGATAACGACACCCGCTCTGCACTAAATAGAGGAAATTTCTGTTTTCTTGTTTGTAGCTTTTGGGATCCACAGCTGAGCTTCTGCAAATGGGATGATAAATAGCGGCGGGCATGCCTAAACAAGGGTTTTTCAGGGTTGTATTTCAACAAGCGCACGTATTTCTATCAGCGATGGCAGCACGGGTATCCCAGCTCCCCTCGGCTATCCGTGCTCGGGCGGGGTTGCGCTGATTCAGCAGCTTTCCGTTACGGCTCTCTCCTTCTTTCCTTCCAGTTTCTCCGAAGATATTTCGTATTTCGAGTGACATCGTGGTGAACGAAGGCAGCAACGTTACTCTGGTGTGCCTGGCCACGGGGAAGCCGGAGCCTTCCATTTCCTGGAGACACATCTCTCCCTCTGGTAAGCGCAACTCTGTCACCTGGAGCTTTCCGCGGCGTTTCACCGGTAAACGGGCTTTGCATTTTCACTTTTCGGCAGCGTGACAGCATCGCTTCTTTGTGCCTTATAAAAGGTGTGTGCCTAGCTAGGCTTCTGGAAAATAAAAGCTTCTTCACATTTCAGCTGAGATCAGTGAAAACTATAACGTGACCGTAACACGGGAATCTGGAAATAAAGGCACCCCGAGTATATTTTTAAGCCCGTTTTAACAGGCTGTAGGCATTTATCAAATAATTCCAATTAAAACCAAACCAAGGAAATAATCAAGAACACACAGCGCGTTCTAGAAGTAGGCCTGAGTTAAAAACATTAACACATCACGCAATAGACTTAGTTTAATGTAACTACCATGGGACCATTATTCCATGATACAGCATAGCTTATTAGAGTGGTTTTATTGAACAAATTAAATTACGCGTATGAAAAACTGCAAACAAAAATGGCATCCAAAAGCATAATTTCCATTTAGTGTTTCTGTTCATACTTTGCGTTCCTCGCAGCATATTCGAAGGAAAGCTCCTAGCTACCACTGCAGGCACCTCCACGGAGGCGCGGCAGAGCAGGATGTGTCTCGCCCAGGGGTGGGGACGTCCCCGCTCCGTATCCCGGAGCTACCGGCTCTGGAAATCCGGGTGGGTTTTATGTTTCTGAGAGGAGATGCCCCCCGCTTCCAGCTGGCAGTGGCGTGCAGGACCGGCATCGCACTGCTTGGCTGGCAGGGACTCCACAACGGTAACTGGGTTTTTTTGCAGTGAAGGTCTTTCTGTTTGCTCACACAACTCTTATGAATTCCAGGTAATTGCAGGGAAGAACAGTTTCATGGACTGTCACGCTTACTGCAGTGTCTCATAATCCTGAGTAACAGTTTGCTTTACAAAAAAAAAAAAAAAAAAAAAAAAAAAAAAAAAAAAAACAAACCACAACAACTTTTGACCTTTAAGACAATGACAATGAATTCTGCCTGAAGTGTCCATCAAGGGACTAAGGGAAAAAATTCAGTTGTAGCAGAAAATGGATTTTAACTAAATGTCAAATAAAATTTTATTGGAAACTATGGTGATACTTTCAGAGTAATAGCTTAAAGCGTTAGATTGTCCACAGAAAGGAGCTGTTACAGTTTTCCAGGAGAGGAAAAAAAGCAGAAAAGGAGAATTGGTGCGCTTAGGCTGGAGAAGGGGTCTGAGGAGGAATTAGATCCCCCTCATCTTCAATTCGGACAAAACTAGTGCACGTAATCACAAGGGCTTGCAGTGAACCCACCACTTTGGTATCTTGACCAAAGGGCTGAGAATGAGGACTGGGAGGAAAAATGTGATCCTTCAGCTGCAGACCCATCAGTCTGATGGGTCATCAGTCTGGGAACTGAAAATGGAATTTGAGGAGAAGGTTGATCAACGGCATCATGGTACAGGGAGAGTCAATCAAGGCGCTCACGGTGCAGCGCCAATGTGCCGAGCGCCCAGCAGGCTGTGGGCAGGCGGGTGCGACTGCTCACACCGGAGGTTTAAGGGCAGGCAGATGCCGCCTGTGCTGTGTTGCCTTTCCCTTGTTCTGCCTCCTCAGCCCTCCCTGCAGACCCATATGAACAGCACCCGTAGGAGAAAGCAACGTTCCTTTACCATCTACTCGCTGCTTCATCTTGACCAAGTAGCTGGCAGGTGATTCCACAAATCCCATACACCTTCTCCTCTGAGGATTTTCTGTGGGGACAGGTGGCTTTTTGGGCTGGCTCGGCCGCATCCCTTACTCTCTCACCAGGAGGAGGTAGGTTAGATGAAACACAAACATGGCTTTAACAAATCTGGTACTTCAAATCCCAGGAAAGTCACGGAGCTGAACCGCAAACTGGCTGAGGTGGGCAGGGACCTCTGGAGAACATCAGCCGGTCCAGCTCCCGCTCAGACCACCACCAGTTGTGTTTGAGTATCTCCCAGAAGGGAGTGGCCACAGCCTCTCTGCGCAACCTGTGCCAGTGTTCGAGCACGCTCACAGTAACAAAAGCTTTTTTTGACGTTTAAATGGGATTTTCTCTGTCTCGAAGAGAGCCTGCTGCCTCTTGTCCTGTCACCAGCATCTCTGAGGAGAGTCTGGATCCATCCCCCTTACACCCCCATCCGGTGTAGGACCCCTCTCCTCCCAGGCTGAGACCCTGCCTCCCAGCTCAGATACTCCAGCCCCTTCATCACCCTCCTGGCCCTCCGCTGGACTTGTTCCGGGACGTCCATGTCTCTCTCGTCTGGGGGGCCCTCAGTATGTGCGTTGTAAAACCAGTGGGAATGGCCTCTACCGCGGGCTTGCTGCCTGGGGGGCACTGGGGGCCTCTCCCCACGGCCTGACCAGTTTCCTTCACCTCCAGATGCATTTACACTGGGGCTCATCAACTTGCTTATGGGCAAAGAGGCGGTACGCATGATAAAACAGCAATAAATTCTTCGTTTATATAAATAACTGAAATTTCAACTCAAGAATCATTATTAGCCTTGATCTAATACTCCCTGCCTGTGGGTGTTGGGCTAGGTGACCTTCTTCCCTTCCAACCCAAACCATTCGGTGATTCTGAACCATTCTATAATTTACAGGATATGTTCTGCCCGCTAGCCTACCAAATAAAGAAGCGTTTTTCCATTTCACTGACACTGTACCCCGTCGGCGCTCAGGTGCACGTTCTGGCGTACACACTCAAATCCAGTTAAGTAGCAGCCTGGCAGACAAGGCGGCGGCGATTATTAGAAAACAAAATGCAAGAGAGTTGAAAACACCGGATTTCTGTAACGGTTTATAATCTGTTTGCAGCAAATTACCTTTATCTAAATATAAGCTTCATCTGCACTTTATAATTTCTACCAGTTTTCTCCTGTAATTCCTAGTGGCACTAATGAGGCTTACATGCCGGCGTCACATCTAGAACACCACACTAAATTACATTAATGAATCATACTTAGAATATTCTGAAACTGTTTGTCAAAGCTGCTACTGAAAGATAAGAAACTGAAATCTCTGAATACAAATGATTCAGTGTAGACTAATTCCAAAAATATTATCGTGATTTGCATCACTCCAGCCTTTGCTTGGATGAGGTTGGATTCAATTTTTTTGAACAAGCGATAAAATGGACCTTTCGCAGGAATAGATATAGAACGTATTTAGAGGCGATTTTTAACTTAGTACATAAATTATTGGCCTGGAATCTTTTATGGTGCGTGTTTAACTTGCAGCCATTATGTAAATGTTTTATTATATAAATATTCATTATACAAACCCATTATGTAAATCCACAGAATCTACACATTCAGCGTAACACGGGGCTGTAGTTTGTAATCTGAAAAATCTCGTATTGTTGAAATGTCATCTGAACAAATTGCAGGTATTACTTATTTTGTTCTGACATTTAAGAGCAAAGTGCAGCATCAATAGTTTAAGAATGAAGCCAGAATTTTAAAGAATTAAGGTCTGCCTGAAAAAATAACTCCAGCTTTTAACACTTGTGTGCAGAGGGTGCGCGTGTGTGTGTGGTGTTGCCAGTTTTGAAGAGCCAGCCCTGCCAGTGCTGCCAGGAGCAGTAAGAGAAAAAAAAAAAAAAAAAAAAAATCCAGAAATCTTTTCGTAAAATATTACCGCTTTGCAAAGTTTCTGCGCTCTACGTGGAAAATCTTTTCTGGTTTGGTTTTGACAAAACTTTCCAAAGGCGACTTTTCCCAGCCACAGAGGGACCGGTGACCTGGGATGACCTGAAGTGAGCGGGGGCCAGCAGCGGAGCGCTTTGCTGCTTAGGACAGGCTTACCAGGAAAGCCTGACGTTCCCTGAGTTTAACATAAATAGGTTAAATTTCTTCATTTCAAAAAGTCTTATGGAAAAAAAAAACAAAAACTTTTTCTGCCTAATTCCCTTAAAGCAAAATAACGCCTCTGGAAAATTCACACCGTGGCCTGATGTTCGGGATACAGAGGTGTTTCGTTTGTTTGTACTTGAATTAAGCAAACGGGGAGAAGTTTCAGCGCCAGGAGGTTGTTTTGGCAGCTGCCGCTACAGCACGTGGGCAGAGGCAGGACACGGCGAGGGCTCACGGGGCTGATGGGGCCGTTGGTCAGACGCGTAGGGTTGTGCTTTGCCAGAGTAGCACAGCTTCAGTTAGACAAGGGCGGCCAGGATGGGTCTGTGTTAAAGCTCGAGAGAGAGAGGGGGTCATGGAAAGATTGCAAGAGTAGCCTTACTTTTGGCTGTGTTCAGAGTGCTGGACTTTGCAATCGCAATACTGACCACAAGTGTCGTCAGAGGCAGTTTCATGCGTTTCAAACCAATATTTTCACTCTAGCGGGTTCGTGTTGGCATCGTGTTGTTCCTCGACAGACTCCCACCAAGGCTGGGCTCTGCACGCGCTCCGCAGCGCCAAGCGTGATGCCAGAAGTGAGGGCAACCGAGAGGTTTGCCTCAAAAGCGCACCCCTGGTCCAGACTAAACTGGTGATACGGATGTGCCCAAAGTGCAGGAACCCCGTCCCCTCAAACGAAGGAAACCTGGTGGCTGCTGTCCTGGAGTGAACCTTGCACGGTCCTGCCATGAGCGGGAGCTCGGCCAGCACAGCCAAGGACACATCTGCTCCGACGCAAAGCCACCCCAGACCCCCTCTGGGTGCACGTTCAGTCCTCAGCGCTGAATCCATCCCCACATCCCCTCTGTTGTGCTGCTTTCCCTGCTGGTGCAGAGGCTGAGCATCCCTGGTGCAACCAGGAGGCAGATGTCTTGATGGACATTTTGCTAGCAGGTTTCCCAGCTGTTGGCTGCAGGGAGGGAAAAAAAAAAAAAGCAGAAAAAAAGTAAGATTGAGACATAGGAATGTCCTGTTTCATTTGTAACTGTGTGTGGCGTGTGGCAGTGTTTCCTGACCACACCAGCCCGGCTTGTTCGTAGTGAGCAGTCCCCCTCAGCCTGGATCCTCAGCATCATCGCTGGTGACTTCTAG